TGACGTCACACATTATGAAATAGACAAAGTCCGACAATTATTTTTACGACATTTTCATGTTTATAGATTCTTCTTTATAGATATAAATATTTAAGTAAATGCTCTGTTTATAATAAACAATATTAATAACATTTACCTGCCTGAATGTCCGAGAAATTTTCATAGAAGTTTTAATATTTTTATCTGTCTATATATATATATATATATATATATATATATATATATATATATATATATATATACGAAGTGGTGGGAACACAAATCAACTAATCGTTAGTAAAAAAAAAAAATTTAGAAAATCGGTCACTTTTTTTCTTATTGCGGGATTTTATTGGTTATTGCTTTTCGGATTCGTGATAAATTGTAGTTTGAAACTTAAATGTTCGTCTATATCTGCTTTTCAAAATTAACCGATCGACTCGTGAATAATAGAAAGTATTAATGCTTTGCTTTAGATAAATAATCATTTCCTTTTTTTCCCGCTTCGTGAATTTACATAATTCACTTTCTGAAACATATTGATACTTCTTTGGGATTTTTGTCTTCTGGTAATGGTTTTAATGCGCAATCGTCATTTCGGTTTATCTAATATTTATCCCCAGACGTTGGTGATCAAGCCTTTTACTCTACCAAGCACATTTTCCGTCAATTGTAAATCCCACTTCAATTCTCGAATCCTGCATGACCATCTACCACTAATTACCCCAATCCTCCCGGGTAGGTGCGCAAGTCACTGACCCAGACGCTTCGCAACAATATATGTCTTTAACCAAATCACGAGAAATATAAATAAAAATGAAGTGTCGATTGTTCAAGACCCATCATGCGACCAACTAGAAAGTCGACTCAGCTGTCACCTCTATTGTTTGCCTTCCAATTACGTCTCCCAGCTGCTCTGGGTACTTTTTTTTTCCATACTCCCTCCTTACCGACTGGTAGGTAAGCTCGGCATGGCTCCAAATCGACCTTTACCTCGGTATGACTCATTGTTTATCAAAATGGTCGCAGTCTTTTTAACCCGGGCTTACCGCGTGAGTCACTAACCTGTCCGATTCAATTTCTTAAGACTCGACAAAAGAATAAATAAAACACAAATAAAGAGAGTGGGGAGAGAAAAGGCTGTATGAAAACAATTTTCCCGCTGAGCAAGTCGCCCCAAGAAGTTTTCGATAACTATATAACCCCAGCCATATCCTAGAGAGGCAATAGAAAACTCGAGTAAAGGTCTCTTTATTCATTTAGTCGCTTGTAATTAATTCCATTGCAGACTTGCATTCTTGTAAACATGGGAATAAAACACAATCTAATTATCCAGGTTTTGATTCACAACATATGCATTTTTCAGGATAGGTTTTACACATCTTTATTACAAAAGAAGATGAAAGGTATCGTCCTGATTATTAATTTATGACTAGTATTACATTTTAATTTTGCCTTCTTTTGAACGCAACTACAAAGGCCGCCATTCTACCTATATGAATAACGCTAATCTGAAAATATTGACTGTAACAGTTTAATTCATATCACACTTTAATTTCAAATTAGTTAATGTAAATTCTTATTAAACACAAAACGTTACGTGTAATACAAACAGTGAACACGTGTATAAACAAAACAAAAAAAGTAATGTTTCGGTTAATTATTTTGACGTTAATCTTATCACGGTAAATGGTCTGGAATCTAGGCAGATCTTTTCATTAGTCAAATAGTAATTGCTTTAATTTTTTTATCATTATTGGTTTCTTTTTCTTTTATTGAGGTTTCTTTCATCTTATTTCAGCTGTTTTTTTTCTTGCAACTCTCAGATCGTTCTTCTACGACCGTTACGTAAGCCACAGAAGTGAGGAGGAGGAGGAGGGACTTGTGAAAGATTTATATTATTAATTTTATAAGAATGCATCCTTTTTGTTTTGATTCTATGTCGGCTATTTTACCTGATAGCAGAAAATCAAATTTATTCATATATAATGATAAACAAATATAGTTTTAAGGTATGCTGTATTTATGGGTAAATGTTGCCCAATACGGCGATAGAGCGCATGCAAATATAAGTGTACAGTGGCATAAACACCGAGTGGCGACAGTTTTTCAACCTTGAATGCAATCCTTAGATTGCATATATATATATATATATATATATATATATATATTGCATGCACACATTTTGTTGGCAATTTCGACGAGGTGTTATCAAGCTTGTCTCGCAAGATCAATTACGACTGAATCGTGAGCTCACGCTTTCGGCCTTGTGCCACATCTAAGATACGCTTAGAAAATCACCACACGCACACACGTTTTCTTGACAAGGTAATTCTGTGCCAACCAGGGTCTTTTCTGGAAGTAATCCGTATTTGGAAATTAAGACGATCGAAAGTGGTCCGAAAGTCTTGTCACCCCTACCGTTCTTTCAGAATGTAATTCATGTCAGCCATGTGAAATGGAAAATTATATTATGTGGGGGGGTGACAAGATTTTCGGACGACCCTGTACTTTCAGTAACTTTTATACTGTCTACAATACCATTTACACGCCATTTATTAGAGTAGTACAACAACAAAAAAAAACCCTTGAAAATAGCTAATATTTTAGTCGAAAGCGCTCGAGTCTAAGAATTTGGCATTGACAATTTTTACATTTATTAAGTCCAAAAAAGAAGACATTTGTATACATACAGGAAAAAAGTTATTTAAAAAAAAGTGCCTTCTCAGCCTTCTTCAACTAATCATGTATTAAATGCCCATTTAGACAACTAATATATGTCGTATTCCGCTATGGTCGATCGGAGACCAAACTACCGACAGTCACGATAAACGTATGCTTCCTCGGAGAGGCACCGTGCCTTAAACTCACACCTGACCTCAAGTAGAACTCATACAAGCCATCGCTAAAGATGCAGGTAAAATGACCGGCTCCCTGTACTGCTCCAGTAAGTATCTGACTCCACGTGCTATCCTCTATCTTTACAAGAGATAAGGCCCAAAATAGAGTACTTTTGTCATATTTAGACAGGAGCTTTTCAGCCTCGTTAGTCCAAAAGCGTCTCAGAATCCTTGTGGGTGACGAATTATTTTTTTCTCTCTCTCTCTCTCTCACTCACTCACTCACTCACTCACTCACACACACAAGCCTCTCGTTGCTCTATCGCTACTTCTACGGAAAGTGCTCAGGCGAACTACATTCGTTGGTTTCACCAGGCCTAACTTTTTCGGCAAGCATCCACGATGCAAACCACCCACATTAACCCCGTATTCCATCGGTAAGAAGTCGGTTCCACTTGAACAGCTTCTTCTTGCGTACCAATGCAGCTATGTGGAACCGACTCCCAAGAGGATGTTTCTCCGATCACTAGAATCTTAACCTAACTTTCTATCTCCAGTGGCCCCCGGGCCTTGTACAGGGTGAACCTTACTGTAAAAAGTAACTGGCGGGGTTATAAATTTTCATACGTGAGTTCAATCTTCACTGTTTGCCTCACTTTAAAACGCATGTTTCGCGTTAATTGGCTTTTTTTGTGTTGGAGCTCAAGCGAAAAAGAAAAGAAGCCAATGAGATTGATCAAATATGGGCTCAAATATCATTCTCAAAAAGATAGGGATTTTTACTTATGCTCGTCAGGTTTTCACGAAGAAAAACTATTTCTTCTGACGATATGGTAAGGATAAACTTTAACTTGAGCAATCCGGTAATACTGCCAACAATGACATAATCACGGAAATAAAAGACAGACAATTTTGATAAGCAGGAAATTGGAGGTCTTCCGCTTGAAATGCTTTCAAAAGCGGACGTCACTCGTAAAATTCCTGTTACCCTGCCCTGAACACGGATGCAATGGAAAGGTCAAAACAACACCGATTGTCATGGACACGGTCGTTAAAAATGACCCGTCAAAATCTCTTTCTTTCAGAAGGCCTATCAAGACATAATTTGAAATACATTCGGTCAGTCGGCAAACGGAGAACAGGAGGATCTTGCAAACCGATCAACAAAAAGGGGTTTTATTATTCACATGCAATTACAGATATACCACCGATTTTCTGACAACTGAAGGTCCAGTAAATATTTTTACTCAAAATTAAGAGGGAACTTATTTACGCTATACTTTATATATAACCATTTAATCGTATTTAATATTTGTTTAATTTAGTCTTTATGCTTAAAAATATGAGGCACGAATCATTTGTAGGTAAGAATTGTGTTATTGAATTATTACCTGACCTCTGTTAGTTCGGCAATATGGAGAAATCCAGCTCAGTGGGCAGCCTTTGATACAATTTTGGTGATAATGGCAAAAAGTAACGGCATTAAAAAAAAGAATGGACGAACCAAGTATTATTGTAAGTTTCTAATTGATTCAAACCAATCACATGCAACACATAATTACGATTCATTTCAGTTTTTAAATATTTCTTCAGTAATAAATGCTCCCAAATAATGAGACTGGTGTTTATATACACCATGCTTTTAAGGGTGAACGAGATCGTCAGTTTCCAGATCCTGTTTTTCAAATTGACATTTTTTCCCCCTGGATAGAGAGTGGTTTACGATCCCTTCTCTTAAAGTTTAAAGATCAGACTAAACCTTCTCTTAGACGGTTTGAATAATATATATGGGGGAAATTGAAGTCAACACTCAGAGGCGACAGACTATTTAATGCTAAACGCAATCGTCAGGTCAAGGAGATGTGGTCTGACGATTGTGCTTAGCATGAAACAGTCTGTCGCCTCTGTGTGTTGAATTTAATGTCTACTTTTCTATTTACATCCGCTCAATCTCTGATATTGAGCACTTTAACCCATAAATACGTTAAAAGTATATTTCATCATTTTATATATATATATATATATATATATATATATATATATATATATATATATATATCCTAGTCATAAATTACATTTCGTCATTTAATAAAATTTTTCTCCTCAGTTGTCTGTCCTTTGTAACTTAATAAATTTTGGCTTTTTTTTTTAAATCTCTGCTAATCCCTGTCCCGCAAGCTTACAGCCGTATCTCGTTGAAACACCGGTTTCCATACAATCACCGAGGTTAAGCAACGTCGAACCTGGTCAGTACCTAAATGAGTGATCGCTTGGGAATAACAAGTGCGGTTGGTATAATGGATAATGGTACGAAATTGTTAATCAGAGAACACAGTTCCAATTCCCGTTAGGTTCGTTATAATAAACTTGGGCGCAAATACCCTTGGAAAATATATGAATCCACATCTTCTCCCCCAACTATCGGTTACTTAGTAAAAACTTGTATCACTGAACCATTATTATCTACCGCCCCACCTGCCAAAAAAAAAATTTCTTAAAATCTTCATATATTTTCTGGTATCAAGTAACCTGCAAAGGGGGTTAAAAAAAACCCGAATCGGTCAGCAAACACTGTTCTGCCAACAATTTACACAACGCTTGCTAAGTTATGCGCTGCTTCCCACCGTGCCTCTTACCTTCAACATGCCATGTGAGTTAAATTTTCTAAGTCTTCTTTCCTCGTTATCTGCTCGAGAAATTTCAACCTTCTTACGTCACGTATAAATGTCCTTTTTGTTTCTATGTTCTCTAAAACTTCGTTCTTGCTAACATCTTCAGTTCATTTTATTCCCAGAACGACATTTCTGTTGCCTCAAGTTTTTTCATCAGTGGGAAATTGTCCATCATTCACTGCCATATAGGAGAACTGATATTACATAACAGTTAAGTACTCTCTTTTTTCTCATGGGGTTTTTGTGTTTCTTAATACTTTGCTTACGTTTTGAAAGACATCTTTCGCTATTTCACCGCACCTTCGTTTTCTGGTGTTGCATTTACTGTCCTCTGTTAAAACACTTCCTAATTATTTAAATTGTTGTACTTGATTAATTTTGGTTTCTCCAATGTGTAGTTCCTATGTTGGGCTCTTATTTTTGCTGATAACCGTTTATTTTGTTTTCTTAGAATTTGTTTAGTTCTTTCTTTTCGATTTTGTTTACTACCTTCTGTAGGAATTCCTGTATTTTTCGTTTCAGTGTCTGCTATTAACAGTGTCATCTGCATATCTAATTTAAGATTGTGGCCACCAATAACGACACCGGGTACGAATGTTCAAGCCTATCTGAAATTAGTATTTCTGATATATATATTTTTACACACACACACCTCCCAAAGATTCGCTAAAACTGAGCATAAATGATGAAAAAATGCTCAGTTTTATTGATTTGTTTTTATAGCAAGTTTTATAGTCAAAATCTTTATTATTAAAAGGAAAGATCAAAGTATTTTTTGATTATTTTTTTAATTCTTTTTAAAACTTTCAAAATTTGGGTTAAAAATTGTTTTTCTGACATCAAAAAGTTACTATAAATTAATATGGAATTCTTACAAGAATCAGATGTCAAATTTCAAGACATATTCACAAATGAATAAAATTATTTTAGAAACATTTCTTTTTTTAGAAAATTTTGGTATATTTTTTTTTTTTTTTTTTTTTTCATCTTTTACCAAACCATCCCCCACCACTTATATAATTCATGAAATTTCGAGAAATTCATTTTTGTAGCATTTAATGTTCATATTAGTTATAATGCTCAGTCCTTGTAAAATTTAAATCAGTAAATTTGGTTTGTCAAACAGGATCCACAATTATAGAAATTTGCTCTGAAATGTAAAATAAAAAGTAATAAAAATAAACATTTAATTAGAAAAATCTTCAACTGCTTTTATGAATGATATATATTTATGGAGACGAATATGAATAAGATATTTATGCAGACAATAGACAAAGGTCGAATTTACTGCTTATAAACTTCAATAAATTTTATAAAATTCGACCTTGCCTACCGAACGCTCCTTTGTGGCCGAGTCGGTTAAGGCACGTCAGCGTAAATGACGGTTCCGTATAGAATGCAGCTTCGAATCCTGTCAAAGGACGAATATTTTCTATGAAAATTTCTCGGACATTCAGGCCGGTAAATGTTATTTAATACTGTTTATTATAAACAGAGCATTTACTTAAATACTTGTATCTATAAAAAAAGAACGTTAAACATAAAAATGTCTTTAATAAATTGTCGGACTTTGTCCATTTCTTAATATATATATATATATATATATATATATATATATATATATATATATATTATAAAAAACGGCGTTCAAGTTGTACTCGTGTAATTTTGCTCCAAGTATTTCACCCTTACCTATATCTAACAATCGTCAGGAGACAAATGTGTCAACACATCATAAAGCACCCAACTCCGTTAAAAAATGCTTTTCTGCAACATTTTTAATTTGTCCACATATCCATACAACTGAATATGTTAGCTCTATCACTGATATTTAGCGCTTTCCACTAAGTACTGCGCATATAAAATAATATATAAGTGTGTGTGAGGCAAAGTCTCTCATCCCCTGAGAAGACTGGCGCTTCACATTCTTCCAACATTTTTTCTTTATAACGAACTAAGTTAAATATAGTAAAGAACAGTCGAAATAACTGAGTGATCGTTGTTATTCAACATCGCCTTCCTCCCACTTCCGAAACGGACAGATCCATTTTCAAAATACATTTGCTTACTTCAACATTTATTTGTCCGAATTTTTTATTTTTATTTTGTTTTTTTTCTCCTTAGAATTTGGCTCCTCCATTTGTACAGATGAACTTTTTTCTTTTCAAATGAAATCTTTGCCTAAATAATGAATATATAAACGTGCGTAATGCAGGAAGCAAACGCCGTCTGGTGACAAAACGTTACCGGCTTTGACGATCCACATCCCTCTTCCCGTCAGTGGCGTCCATGCCTATTTATTTAGCGTCGCGTCTCGTATCGAGCTAATCCTCTTAATTCTTTATTGCGTTTATTATTGTTTTCTATTCACACGTGAAACGAAAGAAAGAAACGAACAAGCAAACACGAAAAACCAGTCGTTTTTTTTTTCTGGGGCTTTTGACTTGACAGTTTGCCGCTTATAAGTTTTGTTTTGTTTCGTTTTTTGTTTGTTTTTGTTTTATGTTTTGGTTTTTTTTCCCCGATAAATGAGACAAAAGAACCCTCCCTCAAAATGTTTCTGAGGTCCTATCATAATATAGCAAAAGATTCGGTTTTCATAAAATGGAAAAAAAACGAAAATGGAATTTTTAAGTCTCTCCTTTACGATCAGTCTATGTCAGTAGTTCTCAAACGGGGAACACTTTGCCCCCAGGAAAGGATTTTCTGTCATACGTTTTTGACTCGTGTGTAATAGTAAAAATTACTATATGACAATTATACATAGGGAAGGAATCGAAGAATCTTAGATAACTGGACTCGACTCTTCAAAAATTGCTATGGACTGTTTACAAATAAAGAGGCGACAAGCATAACTTCATCTTGCAAACCAATTCGCTGATATATTTAAATTCTGTCTCGGTCATGTTGACAGGTGAAACTGATTCCAGTCATGGCTCTCCACAACTGCCTATCCTTTGTATCTCTAAGCAATATTTGTTAATCCCACTTCCGCCATACATTCACGCAACATTTTAGGTAGGTTATTCGCTGTTTTTTTTGGGGTTTTTTTTTTTTTTTTTTTACTGCCTTCTTTATGTCGCTGTTGAGGTCACATTCGTCAAGGCGTCTTTCTTCATGGTCTCACAGAAATTTCAGCTGTCTTTCTGATTTCTAAGTTTCCTTTTTGCTTCTCACTTCCTTAAAACTTCCGCGTGGCTTACATGTTCAGTCCATTGTATTTTCAGCTTCCTTTTGTTGGAGAATCACATTTTTGTTGCTCTCATGCCCTGAGTCTCTTCTTCACCTATGAAGAGATTGTTCATCCTTAATGCTATATAAGAAAACTGTCATTACATAACATTTTGTTGCTAATGAAAATTGTCTGTTAATATTTTCTTTAGCTTTTGGAAGGTGACTTTTCACTATCCCAATACGTCTTCGGATTTCAGTGTCGCATTTTCTGTCCTCTATATTAGATATTTAAATTTTTCTACTTGCTTGATTTTGGTATCTCCATGGGCTCTTCCTCTTGCTATCAATGATGCATTTCGTCTTCTTGTATCGATGTTTAGTGATTTCTTCAAACTTTCCTTTACTAACTTCAGTAAGAATACTTGTAGTTCCCTTTCTATGTCTGCTATCAACAATGTGTCATGTGTACGTCTTATGTGGCCGCCAGTAATTATCATGGAATAATGTAATTCTCTCAGCATCGCCTCATTGCATAGGTTGAATAAGTCTGGTGAGAAGACATATCCTTGCCTTACACCCCTTTCTATTATAGTGTAAGTTCTAGGTAAGACGATAAACTACGTCTGACAGCAAGGCCTCTGATCAGGAGGTTTTGAGGAGCGTGGACCCACTTCTTGATTGCTGGTGTTCCCTGACCCTGGGTGGTAGCACCTGTTATGGCCCCAGCTTTGGGCAAATAGTTAACCCCCAAACTGGGGTGAAAACATTTAGAAAGGTTAAAAATACGTTTTAATATCAGAAATAATTTGTAAAAAAGATTATTACCAGCAGTAAACATTTGAAGAAAAAATTATTACCAGCAATATATTTTTGAAAAAATATATATTACCAGCAATAAAACTTTTGTTGGCATTAAATAACCCATTGAGGTTAATATGCCGTAAAACAAACCAAACCAAACCAGATTATTCCAGATTATTCCAATACCGATCACATATATGCCATTGTAACTTAGCAGTTCTAATAATTCCTTGTTTTTTATCAAATGCTTTTGTATAATCTATAAAACATAGGTATACATCCTTTTACACTTTTACATATCATTCTGAGCATAAATATCGCATTCATTGTTCCAGTGTCTTTAGTGAACTAGCACTGTTCTTGATAAATGATGTCTTCTCTTCATCTGTGAAGAAACTGTCCAGCATTCATTGCCATTTAAGTGGAATGATATTACACGTTTCGGCACTAGACCCATTGACGAATATAGTGAGTTCCAACGTAACTGGATTGACATATCACTATGAATTTAAATCGGGCTAAACTAATTCAACTCTAGTGTTGTCTACCATTTTGTTTTGTTTTTATTTTGATGTTTCTTTTTTGTCAACCTTTTGTTGCGATTATTAATAATAGAATATACTCTATGAGAAGAAGACGAAA